CCGAGAGTAGAAACACGCAATGGGTCGAGCGATTACCCAGCGTGATCAAAGCTATAAACGATGAAACGACGAGATTAATAGCTAAAGCACCGTCAGAGGCGGTTAAACTAGAACAGGTCCGGCAATCGCCGGCTAACCCCGTTAAAACAAAAGAGCAACAATTACCGCAAGACGCAATGGTTAGATATTTATATTACCCGGGTGAGCAAGAGGATGGAACCTCGAGAAGAGCCACGGATCCCATTTGGAGCGTAGACATTTATAACGTGGAAAAAAGAACGAGTCAATTTAAAATGATTAACGGTAAAAAAGTCACGACGGGTCCTACTCTTTATTACCTTCAAAACGGCCCAAAAAGGAGTTTTGTGAGACAAGAGCTTCAAGTCGTACCCGAGGACACGCAATTACCGCCTAATTAATATCTAGATTGCGGTGACCATAAGCGAGCGTGTATATACCGTCCGGTAAAATGTACCTCTTTGTGTCCAACGGACTCAACGACAATTTATCTAGCGATATGGTGTAAAGGATGTGTTTTTCAGATCGAATTTGAGTCATCGTTTCTGTTTTAGATTTATTTTTAAAGATGCAGTCGTAGTAGTGTTGGTGTTTTAATTTTTTGTCAGTGACCGATTTTGTGACCCCCTTGGCTTTTTTAAGAGTGATGTTGTTGTCATCCGCTAAAATCGAGTACATCTTAGGTCTTACGCAAACGGCTTCTTGAATGACCTTACCTCCAAACTCGTCTTTAAATTTACCGATCACTTTCTTATTGGTTGGATCGTATAACTCGTGATCCAGATTGTAATTCGAAAAGTCGTAGTGTCGCCCGTGAGATTGCATGTCTTTGTATATGTCATCCGTGTAAACGACAATCAACAGACTGTCCGTATCCGTATACATCAACCTGATTTGATCTCCGTACTTGTCTTTCAATCGGTTGTAATAAAAATCGTACATCAGCGTCTTTGAGAGATCTAAGATGCTCACTCCGCAGTAAATGGGTTTGTTTAACACGGTTGTCGTTTTATATGTTTCGACAAACGACAGGTCACATTCTGGAAACGGCGTTGTTGTTTTATAGCTCGGTTTTTGAATTATTTTTTTGTATTTTTCTTGATCGCTCTCGTTATTGTCTCTCAGTAGGTAACCGTCTATTCGATTTCTAACGTTTTCCATCGTCTTACCAAACACGCTGTTATTCATCAGTTTAAAAAAGTCTTTCTCAAAATCAGAAGACGCTTTTGTTCGGAGTTGCGTGTTTTTATCGATGTAAGATTTCATCCAAGGCGCTTGTTTAAATTTTAACACGCGATGTACCTTTTTTAATTTCAAGCCGAGTTTGAGATACATCTGCAACGTAACGTAGTGCAACACGTATTTTTGTTTTGGATTAAGCGTACACGTTAATTTTTGTACGTCGCTACTAGGTTCGGTATCCAATAAGTCATTTTGATAATCAGACATCCAAGCTTGGGGTACGACCATATTTTCGGGCGCTAGGGGATAATCGTTATGCTTGGTGTGTAGATCGTGCGGGTAATCGAGGTCTACTTCAAAAAAATAACCGGTGTTGGACGTTTTCTTCAGCGTTAATATTCTTTCTTCGGTAAACGGTTTCGAGGGTGTCCATTTAAAATCGCTGTACGGTAGATATTGACTCATAGCCCAACCGTACAGATTGTTGGCATCCAGATAAGCGATATAACTCGAGGGTTTGTTTGAATCGTAGTCATCGAGATATTGATTATTTGCTTTGTGATGTCTCATTCCACCCACGCTCGATATGCCTCCTCGTTTTGCTTTTTCAAAAAATAAATGTTTGTCTACGTCTTGCAATAGTTCGAGTTTAACTTCCGAGTGTTTTAATAGAGCATCCCACGACAATCCGGGTGCGGTAAAATAATTGGCTGGATCTAGCCCGTAGTTTGTAATACACGTTCTTCTAAAGTTTTCAAATACGCCTGCAAGTAATAACGTATCGGTAGTCACGTACAAGTCGTGATATTCTCCTAGATTTTGTATATTAAACTCGTTCCACACGCGTTGAGCTCTGTCGTAGTCTTGTTGCGATATATGTTCGTCTTTTAGTCTGCTGTAAAACTTGCCGATGGGTGGTAGGCTGGTCTCTTGAAACTTGTCAAACGAGTTCATATATTCGTAGGGATAAATTCCTTTATGTAATAGTAAGTCAGGATGTTTAAAATGGTTTTTGAGTAGCTGAAACGACTCTTTTGGGCAAGCTTTCACTAATTTATCCAACGATGATGCCATAAAACTTAACGAGTCTAAAAATCGTAGATTTCCTATCGAAAACGAAATATACTTTTCTGAATTTTTAGCGATCACTTGTATTTCTGTTTGGCTATCGTATTCTGTCATTCCCTGCATGATTAAATGCGCGTCGTAATTTTGTAAATTGTGAAAAAAGACTGGTATCGGTGTACAACCGGGTTTAATTTGTAGTTTGAGGTTACAATAAGCGTGTGCAGCACCCCTATATTTACCAGTGACGTGGCAGTGATCTCTCACCTTTCTAAATGTGTTGATTCTCTTTTTACAGTCGAGACATTTAGACTCGGTAAATCCTTTTTTGTTTTTGCACTGATATTCTTTTATTTGTTTTATCGTCTTGGGTTCCCTGGGTTTCTGGCACAGACGTGTTTGTTGTATCGTGATGGTCTTTAGCTCGCTCGTTAAATTTCATGGTTTGGGGTTTTTCAAATATGCAATTAATATCGCTTTGTAATTGTAACAGCGTTGTTATAAATCTAGTTGAAGCGTCTTTGTCTCTATAAGTCTCTTGATACACATTTTTACCGTCGCATCGGACGACAACTAGCGAATAACCGCTAGCTTTGTGAACGTTAATCTTTTTTGTGTTTGTCTCTTTGTCTGAGTGAGTAGGTTTAGATGTCAGTGTCTGTTTGGGTGTTGTTGTTGTTTGTAGTATGGATTCAAAGTCAGCATAAATGACAAATGGTGCTTTTTGTTTGTGCCTATAGTTTTTAAATTCTAATATCGGTACGTCTCTTTCGCCTGGTTGCCCGTCTATGTATTTTGGTTTACCCATAGGAAATACAATCTTTGATGGATGTGCATCTATACCCTTACAATCGGCGATATGTCTGTCTAATTTGTTTTGATTGGTAAAATGACATAGACATCTTCGACAAAAATATTTCTTACATTTATGTTTCGTAACGTCATACATCAACCTCGTAAAATATTTTATCCAACAATAGTGATGCTTGTCACCTTTAGAAATCAAAAGCAGATCGATCTCTTTTGCCCCGTAGTTTTTAGACACGTATAATGGATATATCTCACCCTCATAACCATATACGTTTATCGATAAATTATTTTGTCTTTCTATCTTGGGTATCTGATCGACCGGTGTCGGAAAGTCAACGCCTTTAAAACTGAGTCCGTCGTCTTTGGTGTATACAACAGGTTCTTCTTTATGAATTTTATATTTAGGATTATTTCTTATTTGATTTTTTACTTTATCTGTATACAACCCAAGAGCAGCTCTCAAACACCATCTCAAACACTCGTCGTCTTTGTTTTTGATGTTTATCATCGCCTGTTTAATTTTAAGATGTTCGGGTAGGTTTATGTAAGAACTACCTCTCGCTGGATTATATCTGTTGATGTTGATGTATAACGCCATTATCTTTTTTAAAACCCAACCCGATCCTTGATTCGTATACCTTTCATCCTTTTTGAATAGCTCTTCGATCTCTTCTCTTAAAACCTGTTTTATTTGACTTTGATTTAAAACGGCTTTCGGCTTGCTATAATGAATAGCTTCGATCGTTTCGATCGTACCATCCGGTTTGGTTTTTTCGTATTTTATTTTGATTGTGAGCTCCATTTTTAAACCTCTCAGCTCTCTCAATTCAGACTTGATTTTATTGACTATTTGTTCCTTGTGCGAATCAAAAAACTTGATTAAATCGTGGTTATAAAGTCTGGGGTTTAATTCCCAGTTTCTGTAGTAATTTCTAAACCTTCTCGTTTCTCTAAAAGCTGACTCTGTAAAGTATTCGGGTTGTCTGTATGTTTTAATCGCCGAGATTAAATCTTTTTTCAAAAATCGTCCTTTATAACCCGTCGGTACGTATTCTAGATTTTGTTCGTCTACAATCTGTTTGAGCTCATAAAGTTTCTTTTTCCTCAAGTTTTTAAATTTACTTTCATAATGTTTTATCCCCTCGATGTAGACTTTACGAGTAAAAAAAACATTTTCATTGTGCGGTATATTATACCGCTGCACGTAATCACGCAGCGTGGCTTTGTTCCATTTAGAATATCCTTTGACGGTCGGTCTGAACATATTACTCTCCATTTATTATAGGAAATATAATATTTTTTTTTTCTCATTTTTTTTGGAGGTCAGACTTTGGATTTATAAGCAATCAGACTCACCTCATTTTAGCGACGACAGATTTTTAATTTTTTTTTGGCTCCCAAACCCGACGTCAGATTTTTTTTTTTTTTTTTTTCTCCCAAACCCGACGTCAGATTTTTTTTTTTTTTTTTTTTTCTCCCAAACCCGACGTCAGATTTTTTATTTTTTTATTTTTTTTTTTCTCCCAAACCCGACGTCGGATTTTTTATTTTTTTTTTTTTTTTTTTTTTTTAATTGAGATCGGGGCATTCCCCTATTTTTTTAAAATCGAGAGCGGCGTGCCCAGGCTCGCCGCAGATTTTTTCCATTTTGGTCCCGTACCCCCGCCTTCCTTACTACTGTTTAATTTTTAAAAATCGTGTTTTCGTAACTCACGCCGTGCTCGTGCTGCGACGAATTGACTCTGTTTTTACCCCAGACACCGCATACAAAAAACAAACGCTAATGTAAAGCATATCCAAGGCACCACACTATTCCTCATTTGCATACGTGTGCAAAAATCGTGCACATATGCAAATGATCCAATACCAGGGTGAGAGAGCAGGTAGTGATGGGCGCGTACTGTTCGACACCCTGGGAACGAGGTTGCCATGTACCATTTGTGCATGCATGCAGTACACACGTACACGCTGACGTCGCGCGCGCATACGTGTGCGCCATGCTGCACGTACGGAAGGGGAGAAGTTCTGTTTGTATTTTTAAAGAAATAATAGCTTTTCATTTCCACCTGAAGCCTAGATATCAATGTAGTCTTGTAGCCCAATGTCAGGTGAGAGTGACGTTAGTTAGGCTTCATCTATATCTTGTACATTAGTAGGGTAATCGTGCAGGGAAAGAAAGTAGAGCGGTTGTGTACAAACTCTATGGAGAGTCAAGAACATTTTTAAAAATTAAAGATAGTGGATATTTTGCCGGAGGTAATGACGGCAAACTAACGTTTACTAAAGGTTTGCCGGCGGCAATCCATATCAACAGAGGGCGCTGTACTCTTTAAGATAGGGCTGAATTATAAGATGTATTAAATTCCCACCAGAAGTTCCCACCAGAACTGCAGAAGTCAAGAACATTTTTAAAAATTAAAGATAGTGCCTAGTGGATATTTTGCCGGAGGTAATGACGGCAAACTAACGTTTACTAAAGGTTTGCCAGCGGCAATCCAACTAACCGCTCTGCTTTCTTTCCGCAGTGCGTTTATCTTCAACATATGAAGGCAGCACTAAGTCAAGAAGGAAGAAGAAGTTGTGTAGCACATTTGGTGTAGTGGTCATGGTGGTTAAGCGTGGTTTTGTGAGCGGGATGACTCGGGTTCGATTCCGATCCCCGCCACATTTTTAAGGTTTTTATTCCCATCCCCAAATAAATAAGAATATTATTCTTTTATTATTTTAACATGTCTCAAACATTTTATTGCAAAGTATGACATTTTGTTTTTCAGATTTGTGGCTCTGGAGGATTTTTTTTAAAGGGAAATAAAGTCCGAAATTATAAAATGGTCTGAATCCCATCTTGTGAATACGAGGTTACAACGATAATATTGGCATGGAGCCAGACTAAAATTTGTCACCGGAAAATGTTTAAGTAAAAAAAAACAGTAACTGCGCATGTTCAGTGCATATCCGGCAAACTAACGTTTACTAAAGGTTTGCCGTCTCCGGCAAAATATCCACTGCCAAAATTAAAGTATTTCTTAATAACAGGCTAATTGGAAATGTTTCTTAGTCCGAGATTTATCATATGTCATTTAAAATTTTGGCAATGACTGACCTTCATTGAGATGATACTTTGATAGGGTAATTAACAGGAGTATTTGACCACTTAGCCCATATGGAGGAAGCCCTAAGCTGAGGGCAGGGGGGGGGGGGGGATCCACTCCCCCACCAATTTTTCTTTTCGTGATACCCTTGGTAAAAAATATTTTGCCGACCCGAGCTTTCCTGACTTTTTAGCCTCGAGTCTTGCGCATCTTTTGATACCAAAAAGAAAAAATTCCGACCATGGTTACCGCGCAGCGAAAAATACAACTGAATGTACCTATATATATGTCGTGTACACAAAGCAGAATTACCATTGGTGCATATGAATAAATAATTAGCCGATAATTCCAAAACCCTTTAACCTATATTAATAAATACCTTGGAGAGTTGATGGTTTCTGATTGGTCGAGACTCGATCACGTGGCCGGTCATTAACGGTGATAATGGACCGGCTTCAAAGATCAAGCGAATAAATGGCCCCTGAACCAGCATTGATCAAGCCCCGTTCAGCCCAATGCAAGCCAATGATTGGTCAAAATATAGTAACAGTCCTGCGGTAGCTTTTAACAATTGAGCACTGCACATGCGCTCAACCCCCATCGCGTGAGACTGACGCGCGCGTACGCAACACAGTTGCTAGGGATGCGTGCGTGTACGACATCGTACAGCAGTGCAGTATATACTGAGGATGTTTACGACGAAAGCGTAGATCTACGATTTATTTTCTTTGAAACACTTCACCCACCGACATATTTACCTTTCCTAAACCAAGCATCTTTGTAATTCCGGACACAAGGAATGTGTAAACGAGATTTCAGCTTCCTCCATCAGGTAAAGATATGAAAACATTGTTGTAATTTGTTTCGCTACGGCAGCAGTTTCTGTTGAGTTTACGTCGTTATAGCTGTTAAGCTAAAATATGGCCCATGAACATGAACACAAAAAAGTCTGGAAATATCGCCGGAAAAAAGTCACAAAATTGGAGCATTTTAACTGTTTATTTCGTTATAAAGGTATTTATTAATGGGAATAACAGTGTGAGGATCTGGTCTTCACTGCGTGATAATGACCGGGTGTGGGGGTGACCGCTGTTAATGGACCTCGACTTCGTCTCGGTCCATTAACAGCGGTCACCCCCACACCCGGTCATTATCACGCAGTGAAGACCGGCTCCTCACACTGTTATTCCCTTAGTCATGACATTTCTTGGGTATGTTCACATTAGGCGAAATAATAAAAACAAATGTCATTAGCGGCCTGCCTTTTTGAAAAAAAGGAAGCGGGAGGCCCTTTTTTCCCCCCTCCTTTTTAAAATGGCTGCCATTGGACTCAGGAAATGACATAACAGCTTTAGATGGGCTAGATGCAACAGATAAAGAGGCCAAAATGATGTCACTGTTGAAAATTTATCATTTTTTCGGTAAAAAAAAAGAAAAAAAGAGGCGGCCTCCAAAAAGGAAGCGGGCGGGGACAGGACACTAAACATTTATTTTAAAAAACTTCCCCTTAAAGGGAAAATACAACATTTGCAAACATCAAAAAATAAAACTACCAAATCATTTTGAAATACCTTGCTGGACTGTTAGTGAATGACAGTGTAAAGCATCCTGTAAAATCATGGCACCTGGTATACTGACATTTTCAAGAAAAGTGGTATTTTTTTATCAATTTCCAACGCTGGTCGGCCGACCAGCATTGGAAAAAAACTGGCTTTTTTTCAAATACTGGCCCCAATTGACCATCGCACTTGTTTGCAATCGATTACACACCTATGAACGGGTACAAGCCAGCTAGACTGGTTCCCTGACCTTACAATTCACCAATATATGTAAACTGCTCTGTTTCTTCTTATATGTAGTCAGGGAACCAGACTACAGGAAAATGATTGTTTTTCTTGGTTTTTATAGCATTTTCGAACCCAAAACCTCAACATAGTCAGTGTAACTATATTTGCTATATATTTCTAACCCCCCAATTCCATCCATTTCTGATAATTACAGCAAAAGCAAATGATGTATATTCCCTTTAAGTTGTTCTATGCATGAACCGTCACTCAGTGGCCGGGATCTGAGGGGGGACGGAATGCGCATGACCACACCCCCTGGATCCCCCGGAGTACATGTATCCACATTACATTACCATAAGCCAAACATGTAATAACTAACGTGTTACAATTTTATTTTCCAGCTATTTTCTTCAGATTCAACAGCCAGCACTGAAAACGCCCAGGATGAGTCCAAAGCTCAGGAATACAGGACAGAGCCACCGCACCACCCGGACCGAGACTGGATTGGTCCGGTCGACAAGCGGTCCAATCTTCGGCAAATCCGCTTCGCTCAGCCACAGGACGAAACGGTCGGGGAAAGGAAACACAGAGAGATGAGGGAAGAGATTTACGAGTGGAACCACGCCTTCTGGGCTAAGCACAACCAGAACTTCATTGAGGTGAGAACAAAATTAACGAGTGATGCGGGCCCCACTAGTCCTATAGCCCCATAAATGTGGCCAATTTACAGGACTATCTCCGTAAATAAAGGCCACACTTCCACCATGAACAAAAACATGTCGAACTTTGTCAAATTTTGATTTTCACATTTAGGCTTAGTTTGTAGTTTATTTTTGCTTTAGAAGCATACTCACCCCCTTTATAGGCTAATCAGAAAGTGCTTCCTTTTTCAGATGTCTATTTTTCGTGAAATTTCCAGATTCGTTTGCACACGTTTGCGTATCAAAATTTCAACATGAAATTTCACGAAAATTAGACATCTGAAAAAGGCAGCACCTTCCGATTAGCCTATAAAGAGGGTGAGTATGCTTCTGAAGCAAAAAAACCCTACAAACTAAGCCTAAATGTGAAAATCAAAATTTGACAAAGTTCGAAATGTTTTTGTACATGGTGGAAGTGTGGCCTTTATTTACGGAGGTAGTCCAGTAAATTGGCCACATTTATGGGGTTATCCACATCCAATTGTGCGTTGCAATGCCCATTGAAAATCTTGCTAAATGCAAATTGCAGTTTTAGGGTTTTAGGAGCTTCAGCGCTTGCGCTCTCGTTATTTCTTACACAGTGTTCCCAAGTGAGGTATCAAATTGAACTGGACAGTTTCCGTGACAAATGGTGCACTTCAGATTTTTTGTTCACTGAGAAATGTCCAAACAAGGATGATTATAAAAACTGCTTAGTTTCTTTTTAAGCCAGGTGGAAGAAGCACTGATTTCAGAGGGTGAAATTATGCACACAAACTGCACCAACAGAAGAGCACATAGAATGCACTTACCTGGCAGAACTTTTTCACACAAAAACACGGTAAACTCCCTGTGAAATTATTCTTTCTGGCATGCTGTCATTTTGAAGAAAACAATAAAAGAAGGTCTTTTCCAAAGATGCGTCTGAAGATGCATTTTTGGGAAATTTCAGTCAGCAGTTCGTTTTTAATTCGGCGAAGCCGTGAATGGGTGCGCCCAAGCGTTGACATGATGCACCTGCGCGCAGTTGCTAGTTTTCTGTTGGTTCAGTGCGTTACATCGGGTAGCTGCAATCAGCTGAATGAGAACGTCTCCCGGATGCTGATTTCAGGCGCAATTCAAAACACGACTCTGCAACTTTTAAATTGAAATCGAGATCATAGCATATTATTTTCTCGCAACATACAGCATTCACTGAGCTAAAAGTTAATCAGATTAGTTGTTAAGCACCCTTCTTTTGTTTTTTGAGCACCTTTGTTGCTTCAAACGAAAAAAATGCACAAATTACAAAGATATACTGTACCTTTAACCCCTGCCCCATGATGTTTCTACCAATCAAAGCCATTACTATACAAGCAAATTTCTGACAAAAGTCTTATGTGCATGCACTTGGCATGGCGTTCGTGTCTTGTATTACGCTCGAGGACAGACACACAAAGGGAGAACAAAAGATCCTTTCAGTCCTCTAACGACGGTGCTTTTGTTCGAAACTGTCCTCGATCGTACGTTTACATGCTTAGTCTATGGGAAAGTGTTGAAGTACAGGGACAAAGGGAAACACAATAGGTTGTCCTCAGGCGTATAGTAAAACACGACTGTGCACACTTGTGTGTGTATGTGTGTGTGTGGAGGGGGGGGGGAGGAGGTGGTATAAACGCATGTGTTGCTGCCCACTTGAAAAGTGGGCGGGGCTTATGAGGAAATCCAGAATGGTCTATTGAACATTGATGATAAGCATCACAAATACCCAGACAAGGTTTCAGTGGTATGTGTCAAGTGAATCATCAGTATGTATGTACATGTAGTCTAGATTTAATGTTCATACATTACGTTTTCTCTGGCAGGCCAAAGAACGTTTTGTTAAAGAAGCACTCGGCACTAAAGGAGTTGGCCTCTTGGATGAAGATGGTAATTTCATTTTTTTAATTTACAAATCCTGTATTAAGTGTGATAAATCTTAAAGTGATTATGTTATTAAAAAGAAGGCACCGCAACATTTATGCCATTATTTCAAGCATCTTATCTCTAGTAATGTAAGAAGTATTTTTTTTTAGTTGCTTTTTGCTTTTGGTCCGTCCAGTGACTGATGAGTTATTGATCTGGCTTGCATAAGAGAGCCAAAGTTTTGGGGGTATTTTGTGTATGAGACGCACTAAATGGGTTCATGTTAAAGTTTAATCTCACACTTTTACATCTAATTTCACTTTCCAAAACCAAAGTCTATTTCGTGTACTGCTCATTATAATTTGTGTGCCCATGTTTTCAAATTTTAATGTTAATCTCAACTTTCTCATTGCACTGTTGAACTGTCCAATGTATTTCCAACTTTTTGAAAATAATTTTTTTTTTTACCCTAGGGGCAAAGCGAGTGTTGAGTGCAGATGAAATGGCCAAGTTCTACAGGGAATTCCTACAAGACAACCGGCATACACTCAAGCTATACAACCGGGAATGGTACCGAAGAAATACCGCCCTCTTGTGGCCGGCATGCAAGATTGCTATTCAGAGACTGTTTAGGAGGTGACCCCATATGGATCAACAGGAATTTGCTTTCAACAGTAAATACAAGAACCCTCCAGAGTTGTAATGTTAAAAAAATGGATGGTTACGGTGTTCGACTCATGAGCCATGGGTTCGAACCCTGACGGGGAACATGGTGCTTGTGTTCTTGTGCAAGGCCTTTTACTACAATTGTCCTCTCTTCACCCAGGAGTATAAATGGGTACCTGTGAAGGTAGAGACCAAATTGCGCTGATCTCGAGCTGCTGCAGAAAAGTGGTCTCATTCCTGATAAACAGGGATGATAATGGTAAAGCACTTTGACACCTTAGGTATAAAGTGCTATATAAGCACCACATTATTATTGTTAGTATTAAAAATGGAAGGCTCCAATTTTGTAAGGATGGTTTCGAACACCAAGTTTTGCAAGATTCCCAACCGTATAGTGGAATTCAAAGTGAATTTTAACAAATCCAGATTTTAGTCCCACCACTAGTTGCAACACTTGATCATGTTGAGCAATGACGTGCAGTCATGCCTGTATACTTGTGTCCATGTACATGTATGGTTGCTTGGGACAGGTCATGACGTCAGTTTTCATAATGAATGGATGAGATCAAGCTATTTCTTTGATGAAAAACAAGTGGATGAATTGTTGCTGGATATCACAAAATGAGTTGTAAGGAGATCTTTGCAACTCCTTGTTTTAAAGGGAATGTACATCATTGGTTTTTGATGTAATTTTCAGAAATGAACTATTTGAGGGGTTAGTATATATAGATCAAATATTGTTACACTGACATTTTTGAAGTTTTGTGTTCGAAAAGGTTGGAAAAACCAAGAAAAACAAAAATGTTTAAGTAGTCTGGTTCCCTGACTCCACAAAAGATAAAATGGATCAATTTATAGATGATGGAAAATTGTAAGGTACGGGAACCAGTCTAGCTGGCCTGCACCCGTTCATGAAACATGTTACCAATAGCAAACAAAATTTGGACTGAAAATATGGTTAATTTGGAGCAGTAGTTGAAAAATAGTTAGGATTTTCCAACGCTGGTCGGCCGACCACCGTTGGAAATGTATACAAAAATACCATTTTCTTGAAAATGACTTCACACCAGGTGCCATAATTTTACAAAATGCTTGAGACTATCATTTACTAACATCGTAGCAAGGTATTTCGTAAAAACTTGGTAGTTTTATTTTTTGATGTTTGCAAATGTTGTATATTCCCTTTAAAGCACATTCAGATCCCCATTTTGATATGAAGACCAGGTTGGTCCTTTCCTCGCCTTCCACCGCTGTGACCCAATATGTGGATTGGGTTTCAAATTTCTAGGGTAGTTCCATCCTTCGTGTTGACTCCGGGTCAATTACAGTGGCTGCTTGTGTACATGTACAACATTCCAAAGAAGTGCTTACACTGTATATTTTGACTTAAAATGTCAGGGGTTTTTTTTGGGGGGGGGCAGAATTAATGTCTGAAAAGTTACACAATTGCTTAAACAATTTCAGACTTGCATGTACCACTGAACATTAACTTTTGCATGGAATTTCAGAGACTGTGGACATTTTTATCAGGTTCACAATGGCTTTCCTGTGACTTTTTCCAAATGGAAAAAGGCAACAGAGGAGAAACGGTTGTATGTGGGTGTCACTGGCTGGGCCCGCTGAATTATTTTCAGACTTAAGTATTATGGAACTTGCTGATATACATGTACAATGCAAGTATAAAGATTAAGAATGGATATTATCAAAACTCCAATCCTTAACTTAAAATTGTTCATTATATATTCTCTTTGGAGCCTAAAAGAGAGAACGATAATTTTATGAAACCCTTTTGTTTCTGTTGTAACCATTGATTGTAGGGTTTGATGATTGTATTTATAGCTTTAAAATAGTAATTTTTACACAAATTTAACTTTTCATTAAACAAACATCAATTGGAACAAATACACGTGTATTTTGTACTAATTAGTGTATTTTCTGCCCTGGCCACTTGTCTTAAAATGGAATGCTTCACAAAAGTCCCCTCCCCCTCTGCACCTGTTAACATTTTGAATTATTTGTGGCCGGACAATTCAGTTATATCTGTTGTGCTTTATTTGGGTAAAAAGTAACCCAAACAAAATTTGTATTTTCAGTATCGAAATTGTCCAAAATAGAATTTTTTTTCTTTTCTCCGGTTTAAATAAAACATTAAGTTAACCCAACGTTTTGTTTATTTTTATTTAATTGGAAGAAAATAATTATAATTAAAAAGTCAGACCTCTGTTGACGCTAGAGGGCGCTCTTTTTCTTACAAATTTATTCACATTTCATCAAGCGGTACGGTTAAGGGAAGTAAAAAAAATAGTCCTTTACATGCCTCTTGTTTAATTATTCAAATTTTTTTTTTTTTAAAAAGACACTTTGGCAAGCGGCAACATATTTTTTTTTATAGGGGGGGGGGCCACCTTGGTGGCACTGGCAGTTGTTTAGGGGCATGTGACCCCCCCCCCCCCCACATTGCCTATATGATGCCTTAAAGGCAAGTTGACAATTGATTTAGGAACTTTTAGCATTCAAATTTTTTTTTTTTTGCCCCATTCCACTTGTATCGCAACACTAGGGTTTGTTCCCCACAAACGTGGGTCCCACAAATTTCCGCCCAAAATTTTATATGAAAAGTAAGGGGGGGGGGGAAGGCCAAATGTGTTGCTTTTGTTGAGTTTTCTGATTGCCTTTTTGGGGACGTCACTAAAAACAAAATATAAAAACTACCAGAAAAACAGACTAAACGTTTGCTAAAATACATTTTTATACTTTTTGGCTTTTCTGCCAGCAAAAAAAGGAGGCTTTACATTTTGCCCTTCACTGGTGGTCCAAAAAGGGACATCTGCTTATCTGCTACCAGAAAAGCAGATCAAACATTTTATCTCGGCGGTTCGAAAGTGGCCATCTCCTCTCTCTTCGGGTACGGAGCCTATATTTTGAACACTCTTACAGCAAATCATAACAATAACTGACAATGTCTTGTTGGGCTTTAACAGTCACGTTTTTATTTAATTTTGTAGTTAATACAGCATCACACTGCGAGGGAATGCCAAATGCAAAAACCTAATCACTCTAAATGTTTTCTACATTGTCTTTCTCTTACCAGCACAATTGTCTTAAACCAAAAAAGGGGAAAAAATTTTTAAAAAAATTGGGTTAACAAGCAATTCTCAACTACTGAAAGATTTCCATTATGCAACAATCTCCAAAAATTACAATATAAATCTCGAAACTTAAAAACTTATAAGTCACTTCCACAGCTCATTTCAAATAACAATAGAAACATAAAAATCTCATTTTATGAAATGTTATCTTCATTAATTGAACATGCCTGAATACTGTTAAACATTTCTTGAAACACTAAGGGTATGTACGTCATACACATGATACTCTTAAACAAAGTAATATCATTTGACTACAGCTGATTGGACAAACCTTCACAAATTTGCACCAAATAAAAGAACAGCATTGTTAATTTCACATGATGACATATATATTTTTTTACAAATGCCACAACCAGTTGACTGGCATATATTTTTAACATCTTTTTTTAATCGGTGCAAGTTTTTATTGACTGGCCCTATTTAATATCAAAGCGCTGTACTCTTAATTATCAGACTTAATTATGAGAATTGAAAACTGCCAATAAATCGGAGAAAATATGAAATTTCTACATCTTCTGACCAATCCAAGCACACTACCACTATTCAGATAATCCGTCATAGGGCAGTTGCTTTGTACAATAGCTAGCATAATGCTGTCGCCATTGATGGGGGCCTTCGTGAGTGTATGGTGATAGTGTGCACGAATTGGTATATATGCACCCTTGTACGATTTAAAACATAAAACCCTTTAATGTTACAGAAATGGCTAGTAAAAAATAAAATCACGTCTGTACTATTAATTGACGCATTCAGTTTGCGACAGGCTGATCATTCGAAGTTGAGTATTCAATATATTCCTGATGAATTCATCGACTTGCGCTTTTTTTTTTTTTTAACGGGAAAAGGTTCAACATTCAAACAACACGGACTTCCAGAGGTACATTCAAGTAATATTACAAAAAGTCATGCAAAAGCAGCAACTTTACAAGGCATCTACTTTTCTAATCTAAGATTATTTTGGATTTTCTGAGCACAATAATGTGCACTAGTAATAAGGAAAAAAGTCACTCTGCTACATTTTAAATATTTACAGAGCTTTTATTTTTGTTTAACAATTCATAGAAATCAAACCCAGAGAAATCAGAATTTTCAATTCCAGAAAATTGCACTATTATCAGGGATAGAACTTAAAGTTTAAAAATTTTCAACTCCCTTTGGTGCTATGCTGAAGAGTTGCTAACATATTGCTAACAAAAAAAATGAAAGCACACTAATACTTGCACTGAGATGCAAGACCATGTAAGTTGCAAGTTTTATAAAACCAAAATGCTTAGCAAATAGCAACTTATAAAACAAAAACTGCATTTTATGGCAAGCATGACCTACAAAAACGAACAAAAGGATTGTCACAACGACTGTTACATTCAGATTCTCAATGTAAAAAAAAACATGGTGGTGTTGCGATGTTGAATATCACAAAAAAAGGTGTTTTCAATGTTTTGGATGATGTTATGATGCTCCCTTGTAAGTTAAGAAAGTTGTGTCTACGGGAATAACAGAACACCTTACAACAAATTAAATATTTCTTGAAGGATGGGTGTTTCCGAATCATGGCTTCGTATGCACTTCGGCTTCAGCCTCCAGTTTCACTATTTCGGATCACTACACAGGCATTTCCTGGTACTGAACACCAAATCTACTATGAGGTCATTTTGTTTGAGCAATAGAAGCTCATATTTTTTTATTTATAATAAATCATTGTGGTGCTGAACCTGAAATGAAGCCAGCTTTTGGCAAATGACCCAGACAAAGAGCAAACTCTAGTCACCACCGACAGAGTTGCTCCAACATAAAAAACCCTCTGTTTTGACAAACCCTTTCCATTTCGATACTTACACGAGAATACAATATTGAAACAGTCTTCATTTACCTTTATACTGCACTTACTTAGAAACATGAATATTGAACAACCTGCCTTTATTAAAGCTATCCGCAAATTAATGGCAAAAAGGTTCCTGCTAAGAAATTACAATAAACAAAGCCAATGAAAAAGATTTTATCAAAATTGGAATAATTAAACTCGACTAGGACTGGAGTACCAAAACCTATAGGTTTTGGTACTCCGTATGTTGCATCAAGTAGCAAATAATTGTGTATAGGAAACATCATTTATGCTGCACTTCGCAACGTAAAAAAGGAACAGAGGATTAAAATGTTGCAAATATTTGTTCATTCAGACAAAGGAATGCAGAGTTTACAATAACCTCTACTTCGATAAATTGTCCAGTCAAAATCTAGTCTGCAAGGCAACACAATCATGACAACTTGATTGAAGGTACAATATACAGTCACAATCACACAAAATTGGCTGTACACACAATTTCACGTGTTCTGCTACCTACTCTTAATGAGATTTATTGAACAATTTTTACGGGCGATTTACAGACTACTAATACTTGGACTACTATTCTACAACTTGAATTATGTATCCTAGTTTTATGACAATATTGGATGATGAATAAGAAAAAATTAGCAAAATCCAAACTCTTTAATACATGGTTCTGCCATGTAGCTACGATTACAACTGTCATATCACTGATCATGCTGCAGCCATTTTGAGACTCGGCTGCATCCAAATGACATGGCTACGGCTTGTAGTAAC